TTATCTGCTCCTGCCCCTTTGCGAGGAGAGCTGCTCGCGGCAGGCCTGGGCTTCTGCGGGAGGAGCCCTGTGTCTGCCCGTCTGGAGCGCTTGTGCTGCCCGGAGCTGGGAGGTCACTTTGGCAAACATCCCAGATGCTCAGACTTCATTTTTTTTCCTGCTGTTTTCGAGCCCAGTGCTAACTACTGTTAGCAGACATAAAGCGCTCTGCAGTTCTTTCCTCAGCACTAGCTACAAGAAAACTACCAATTATAGCCAAGAAACAGTCTTTCAAGTACACATACACATTGTAATGTGGGCTGGAAACCAATTGGAAACCTTTTGATTTGCCCTTTAAGGCCAGAGGCAGGCACGTAAGGCGAACTCCTAAGATGTTTTGAAGAACGGAGCAGTTATACTAAATTTAGCATGCTAACCAGCCAGTTGGCACATATGTAATGAAAGATTTAAAAGGAAAAAAATTCAACCACAGAAACAGCAGACATAGATGGATGAAAAGAAAGCTACAAATAGACAGAGACATTTTTTTAAAAAGATGCTCAAGGAATACAACATGGGGGTTTATCAGCCTTATCACCTCCTTTCATGCAAGAATCTGAGATGCCCAATTGCTATTCATGAAAGTTTTGAATTCCCTATTAGGAGGAATCCACTCTTTCTTGTTGTAACTGCCAGCACAGTGCACACTGCCTGGCATACAGTAAGGGCTAAATGGACACAGGTTGCATAATTGAACAAATTGATGTGTGTGTGTGTGTGTGTGTGTGTGTGTGTGTGTGTGTTCACTGTACAGACGCTTCTAGACCTTTCCATAAGCAAGAAGTGATTGGGTGGGCTCAATTCTGTGTGTTCGCCAGTTGAGTAAAAGGTTCAGCTGAGGATGGAAGACACAGTGCTGTTTCTGCCTGTCTGTCATTGCTCTTACTAACTGGAGAGTGCTTTCCACTGGTAAGCCAGAAACAATGCTTTTGACTTGTTGTATATTATAAACTACATTTCAAAATGTAGTTTGAATACATGAAATTGAGTTAAACCTTAGGAAGCTCCAGAGAGCACCCATGAGAATCCACATTAAAGATGGTGAGCTGGGTGCAGTGGTGCACACCTGACATCTCAGGAGGATCTCAAGTTCAAGGCCAGCCCTGGCAACTTAGACTCTGCTCAAAAAGAAACAACAAAAATGGGAAGTACTGGAGATACATCTCAGTGGCAAAGAGACCTTGGCCAAAATATATAAATAAGTAAATAAAAACAAAGGCGGTTGGTGTACATGGAGGAGCATGGTTTACCTGTGGTCACACAAGAAGCCCGGCCTTGCAGACAGCAGAGCCTGTGCCTCATCTCAGAGTCCACTCAGACTTCATTGAAGGAAGCCCAGTTACACTAACACTCATGCAAAAATTTTGGAGCGATGCTCGTGGAAACCTGTCTCACATTTTCCCCAGCATCTTGAATATTATGCACAATACTTTGTTGATAAAGAATGAAGGGACCCAGATGGAGATGGATCAAGCTGGGAATTCTCCCTTTTTTGCTTTTTTTTTCCTTTCCCCACTTGGTGAATCCTAGAACAACACATTCATTTCTACTACTTTTTTTTTTTTATATGTTGCATTAATGGAGTCTCTGCACAAAAATGACATACCTGAAGAAGAATTTTGTAAAATTTAGTTGAAGATTCTAGTTGATTATAAGCAATTTTCTTTTATCTTCCCTACTGTCCTTGGACTTAAAGTGTTCTTGTGCCTTTAACAATGCACACCACAAAACACACACACACACACACACACTCTCTCACACACACACACCTCCCAAAAAAACACTCTCTTAATTAAGCATGAATGGCATTTAGTTAGAAAATAATGGCCATATTATCAACTCCAAGGTGTTTTTCAGCTGTGCGGTTTTCCGTGGCAGACTGCAGATCCGAGGTATAAATAATGAAGGAAGCATAAGGACCTGTTCAGATGCAGGTCTGACAAGAGTGACGTTCTAAGCAAATTCCTCGAAAGACTACAAGGAAGAGGAAGTGAAGATGGGTCAAGTTAGTTGGTGGCCAGGGACTCACTGCCACCTGCCACTCTGCCTGGCCCACATCACACGGGCCCCAACGAGGTGATGTGAGAACAAGAATGTGTTGGATATGCTGGGCTTGGAAATGTTTTTAAATAAAGAAAAAAGATTTTACTTGACAATTAGGCTGAAGGATTGGAAGCACTGACTCCATTTGGAGTGTGTCAATGGTTAGCTCAGGGACTTTTTGGATTCTGATTCTGGGAAGGGTAGAGAGCAGCAGAACTCTGAGCCTCAGATGGAGAAGGCAAGTGGATGGTCAGGAGCAGCACAGCAGGACACACAGAAGCTTGATTCAGAAACTTTCTTAGAGGGGAAATTCCTGGGGACTTTGTTTTGAATTCTTAGAAAACTCAGAGCAACCTTCAATATCTTTGATTCCACCCTTTCACTTTGCAGATGGGACAACTGAGGCCCAGGACACAGATGGCTGTGCTGAGTGGCCCCAGTGTGAACCAAAGCAGAGCTGGAAGCCAGTTATGCTGTGTTTATTCATGAAATATACTTACTTAACTCTGTAAAGTGGACCTTAAACTGGGTTGGTAATAGTATTTCTCTTATGCCATATATTTACATACCTGAGGATTTTTTTTAACGAGATGGGTAGTTGCTTTCTTCAAATAAAATTGACTTCATATAAAGAATTGTTTTTAAGAGATTCCATCAAGCAATTTATTGATGTATAAAAATCTTATGCTGAATATATCTTTAGCATTGGAGCACAGGTTAATCACTAAAATTTTTGATTCATTTACCTCATTTGCTACATTTAATTACAAATATAGTATTTTAATACCCCGCCCCCGTCACTAATGAGTGCTTGTCCAGCTAGAATAGTGAGTAGAGTAGGAAATGCTCTTTTTCATTACAATATTGAAAACTTTCCTTCCAGTACATCTACAGTGGACATATCACAAACACAATTCCAAATCCAATAAAAACAAACCAAACAAAAGCACACCATCCACTTGAGTGTCATTGGTACTTCAGTAGCAATTATGTCCCCCAAATTATTCTCCCAAGACCTATTTGCTATCCAGTAGGACAATTGTCCCTTTCTTTTTTTCAAAACTTTTTCTTTTCTTTTTTACATAAATAAATTTTTTAGAAAAGTAATTTTTGCTACTCTGGATTTTGTGGGGTTTTTAATGCATCAATTCTCTCTGGGCTGGGTCCGGAGACCGACAGCAAGCTAGACAGCAGTTACTGAGTGAGGGCTCTCTTACTGATACTTTCCCCCTTTCCTTTGAGAACCTTCACTGGGGTAGCACTGGCAACTCGAAGAGCTGCATTGTTGGCACGTGGTGATGGTCCCACAGAGGTTTCGACTCAGAAAGGACCAAGAGCATTCCCGCCTCTGCAGGAAGTTTCAGGAGGTGCCATTCCTTCTCCCAGTTGAAAAGATAACACCCAGGCACACCTGAGCATGAGCCCAGCTGATTCCATATGGGAGATGTATGTAGCCTCAAGAGCAAGGCATGCTTTGAAATTTACAGGATTGTAACGCGGGCCACAGAGTAACAGAAGTACAATACTTCATTGTTTTTCTTTTCTTTTTCTCAGATTAAACATTAGGCATCATGGTACATAGGACTGAGCATCCAGCTTAGTGACTTCCCTGTAAATCGAGCCCCTAAACTTGGATCTGCCAATGAGAGGCGGTTAGGTGTAGCAGAATAAATGCTGCCAGGTGAAAACTACCATTCTAATGTCAACCAAGGCAGGGGGCCTCCTGGGATTTATGTATTTTTAACAGAGACATTTACTCAAATAACGTTTCTTTAATACAAGTGCTGTGCCAGACTGAAGCTGCAGAGAGCCATGGCTCCCAGAGCAGCCTTCCTGGGTGTCTCTTGCTCCTTCCACTTGCCCGGGCTGGGGTCTTGGGCAGGGCTGTCGGGCTGGCTTCGGGACTTCAGGGCCTTTCTCATCCTTCCTACCTAAAATGCCTCACTCCTTCTGGGATGGATTAACTGAGATAATGTGCACAGATTTTAACCCTCAGGTCCCAGGTGAGGAGGCTTTTCCTGGGGGAAGACTCTCTGCTCCCGGCTCCTCAGGGAGCTGATGATACAAGACCTTAAGACCACCAGAGGCCTGGAAACTACTACCGACCCTCAGGGCACACAGTCACCCTCCTCGGAAAGGAGATCGCTGAAAACTTGGTCAGTCTCCCTGCTGGCCTCTGGTTCATCATAATCCAGAAGCAAAAAATGATTTTCCTCAATGTCACACTTTACAAAGAACACTTGACTTTTTTCTCTCCCCTGGGATTATTGTGTGAAGAAAAATAAAGCGATCCATTGTGAACCACTGTGCTTAAATGGGAACAAGATACATCTGCAAGTAAGTGCGAGGTAAGAGTACATTCCCTTCTTTGTCCTCCATAGCTACCTGTGCAGGTGACCATTCCTACAGTGCATTGCAGGTGTGGCAAGAGACACGGCCTGTTCAGGATGATTAGGATGTCATAAACCATTATTCACATCATGTGCGTGACCAGATTTGAGGAGCCAGGCCCAAAATATTCATGGGCAGAAGGGTCTGGATAATTGTAATTTTGGAGTAACAGAGTTGAAAGAGGCAAATCAAAATAAGAAACAAAAAGAAAGAAAAAATTGAAAAAAAATAAGGAAGAAAAGGAAAATACTTTGAAGGCACTTTTTTCCATAGGAAAAAAATATTTTATTTTTTTAAGAACAAATTCAGTTTGAAACAGACGTGGAATGTGACTTCACGGGTCTCATTTTCTGGGGGGGGGTAACTGCAATGTGGAACTAAAGCAGATTTAAAACCTATGACAGGCTATTAAAATAAAACAAAGAAAGAAAAAAATATTTATAACTCAAGCATAATACTGTGTTACTTACAAATTGGACAACGAAATTTTAAATAAATATTCATGGTACATAATTACGGCACAAATATGCAGCAATTTGGCAACCTTTTATACCATTTTTTTTCCTCATTACAGCACAAAGGGGAATGACACTGCCGTTAAACAAGCTGTAGCTAAATACATTGCAAAATTCAGATTTTATACAAAACATCTTGCTTAGACTTTATAAAAAACCAACATTGCTCTATGTACACAATCTGGGTAAGAAAAACCATTTCTGTCTTGTTTTCACGTGTATTTTTATTAAAAAGGTGAATAAGGCTACTGTAACACCCCGAATCCATAGACAGTAAAATCTGAACCTATTTACAGCATCTTCACTTAAACACGATGGTGCAAATTCCGAAGTCAGGTGACTAGGGACGATAATACAAGCAAGGCATTTACAGTAACTTTCCAAAGCTGAACCAACTCCAAATAAGGGGACAGTTGGTAGATTGTCATCTTCTGCACCAGACACAAAACAGACTCGCAGAACACTTTTCAATTGGTTGCAGGTAACTCTTCATCAACTCATTTGATTTTTCACAGTTTAGCATATAACCCAAATGTAGCCAACTGATGATACATACATTGGATTTCATTAAAATCAGACTGTTTCCCATTTTTCCCCTCCTCGACCCTCTCCCCCATCCTACAAGTCACTTCTGATGGCTTACAAGAAAATCTTGTATGAATGCACAGAAAGGAGAGGTTGGGGTGATGGAAAGAATTACATATGTACTGTGACTGGTCACCATGGCAACCCTCCACAGAAATATGATATAGATATATATAATATATATTGGAGATATATATTATACATATATGTACACATGTATACCACATACCCAGTCATACACACAGACACGCACTTTGGACCAACATCATTTTCAGGTTCAGGAAATAGGGAATAATAATTTCTGTGACAACTCATTTTTGCAGGTACTCACTGGAGGTTTGAGAACCTTCAAATGCTGTCGCTACATTTTTTTTTCCCTCCCAATTCAGAAAGCAAAGTGTTACCATAGTAACAGGACTCTGCTAAAGATGTCTATTTTGCATAGCACATAAAAAGTAGGTTTCCTGTTTACTCTTCTTGTTTCTGGAAGGGTGGGGTGGGGGGAAGGAGAGGAGGAGGGAGCCCAGCCAGACTTTCAACCGAAACTCCCTCAGTGTGACTGCTGGATTCTAGAGAACACTTCAGCCCATAAGGCAAGGGAAAACCCAACACAGAAAATAAATGCCGGAACATCTTGTCATTGTTAAATAGATGACGCAGTCACATCGACTTCCTGGTGTTTGGGGCTTGTATTTCCTAGTCTACAGTCTGTGAGATGCTTTCCGAAGACTGTTATTTTTGTATTTGCTCTCATTATTGTTATTTTTGGAGTGGTATTGTTTTTCCCAGAAGTCGCTATCCAATTGTTACATTTCATTTCTTAAAGCACTGAGCGTTGGGATCACTTAATTGCCACGAATGAATTTCACATCTTCTGGTGTGTACTGTGTGCAATCTTAAAATATATATTAGTAAAAATCTTTCATTTTATATCCCTTGTGTTCTATACACCTATTATAAATATGTCCTATCTTCCTTCTCCCCCTCGACATCATAATTCACTTCCGTCTTAAGGACTCTAAGAGGTTTGCCTTGTGTGCTTCACTTTGACACCGAGCACCGGGCACTGGACTCGGCAGTACCTCCCTGTGGCCTAGCAGCCCAGACAGCACCGCCATAAACCAAAGTGTCGTAAGGCTCAATTGGGGGAGGGGGTGGGGACGGGGGCATTTAGGGGGGCTGGGGAATCTGACCTACCTTTTACATATGAGAATTCTTTAATAATGCCAATGGTGATGGAATTACAGCCTGTTTGACCTTTGGCTTTTCAACTTTTAGGTCAGATTTGGCTCTCTGCTATTCTCCTAAATGCTTTCCCTGTGTTTAATAAAATGTGACAAGTATAGCAGCTGAGTCTGCTTAAAACATCACCCAAAGCAGACGACTCTCCTACAGCTCCAGCGCTGTATGTCTTATTGCCAGTACCACGACAGTCCTGCCCGAGTGCGAGTGCGTCGCCAGCGGCCGACTTTCTCCCTCCCCGCCAGGCTCTTCCACTCCAACAGTGCCCCGCTTTGTCCCACTGAAGGAAGAGGGACTTGGTTTCCCTGCACATTGCTGTTTGGTAACAGTGACCGCCTCCCACGACCGCCATCCCCTGCGTGTGTTGTGTCTACTGGCTCCGTCAGTCTTAGCAAAGCCAAAGTGCTGTGACCTACTCGCTTCTCTCTCCTCCCCCACTTTCCACTTCAGGGGCAGCAGCGTGGACCTGCAGTCGCAGCCAGCCCTTTCCCTGTGGCCCTGCCACCAACTCCCAGTCCTCCCGGCTGGCTGACCGCCTGGCGCCTGGGGGGCACCTACAGCGAGCAGGGTTGGAGGGGACTGCCCACGTGACCCCAGCTGTTGTTGCAGGGGGCAGGAGCGGGGCTCCGGCCACGAGTGTCCCGTGAGTGATGCAGAATGTGGAGGTGCGGAGCTCAGGTGCGGAGCTCAGGTGAGGAGCTCAGGTGAGGTGCTGCCGAGCCCCGGACAACAGGAGTGAGACAGTGAGGACTAAACGCTAGGGACCGCGGAGAACCTTACTTAGCCGGAGGTCCGAGGGACAAGTCCAGTGTGCACTGCGGGAGAGACCCGCCCGGGGCAGGACTCCTGGGCAGCAGCGCCTTCGGACGCTCGGCCCTCTCGTCCACACCTCGCGCCCTCCCTGGGCTTCGGCAGAGGCCTGAGTGACTGCCGCACATGGCTTTGAGGACGCGGGGCGCGCAGCAGTCCCCACGATCGGGCGTCTCAGTCTTCCGGCTCGCAGGGAGGGTTTGTGGTCACCAAGGCCGAAATGCTACAGACTAGAAAGCTGTCCAGCTGGGCTCTTCCCGGAGGCGTGATCCCGCTCCCGCGCCTGGCTCAGTCAGGGGCCGGTGCTGACCGGGCGGCGACAAGGCGGCGGCCGCCCTCAGCGGGAGGGGCGCCGAGGTCCCTCTGGGGCGAAGGAAGCCGGAGCCTCAGACCTTGTAGTAAATGTTGGCGGGGCTCTGCGGGGGCATCTCCTGGACTATGTACACCGGGTGCCCGTAATCGCCGCTCACCTTCTCGTAGTGCGGGCAGAAGACGCTGTCCGCAGTCCTTAGCGGGATGATAATGTCACTGGGCTCGGAGCCGTTGTTGTTGCTGCGCTTGGGCGTGGCCAGCGTGCTGAGCGACAGCGTGTTGGTGTGCTGCGGCGAGTGCTTGCGGTGCCTCCGGCGGTACTTGAGCAGCAGCACCACGAGCGTGATGATGATGACGATGAAGATGATGCATCCTGAAGCAATCCCTGCGAATAAGGCCACTTCGGAACCGAGGATGTTGTTCCCCGAATGTCCGGCGCTGTTGCCGTCTGTGCTGGAATCTAGGGACACGGAGCGGGGAGAGGAGGACAGAAATAGTTACTGCTGTCGCCAGGGCTAATCAGCGGCGTTAAAAACGCCTCCCCCCCCCAAAGCCAGCAAAACCAGTGACTTAAAGGGCAGCCAGACTTCCACGAGCCAGGTACCTCGTTTAATAGCTAAATGCTAAACGGCAGACGTCAGCAGTCAGTGGCAAAGGGGACGGATGCCCAGGTCGGACTTCCAAGCCATCCCCAACCACATCGTTTCCTTTCATGTGTCCTCATCCCTCAGGAGCGCGAACTGGCGTGACAGCCAGCCCTTGATCTCCCTGCCTCTTTAACCCCAACGCCAGCCTGGGGCCACCACAGGGAGGAAGAAAAAGAGCGGCCACCACTGTGGGCAGTGTTTAGCCTTCCTGTGGCCGGGCTCGTCCCCGTCCCCTTCCCTTCAGAAACCCGTTTCATGTGGATCTTCAAACAGCCTTTCTTCCGCGGCAGAACCCTGCCTACGGCAGAACAGCGCCAGAACCTGAACAGAGTGACGGGGCTTGGGAAAAGGTTCAACTCGAAACTCGTTTGTATTATTTGATTTACACTTAAAATATATTTGGAAGGCAGCAGACACTCTCGCACTGAACAGACTGCCAACCCAAATGTTAAGCACTAAAAAATTGCCTGGCATCATTATATTATCCATTTATCAGTTTGTCACAAGAATTTGACACATCTTGTCATTGAAAATCAGAAATAACAACTTCCCTCCTTGACTCTTGGAAAGAGACAGAATATTGCTGCAGATGCTAAATTTGCACAACTACCAACCAAGCACACAGATCCCTAATACAAAACGCTGACGTCTGCTCACCAGCTATGTATGAAACATTCATTAGCATAGTAACCAATATACACAGTTCCAAGACTGTTAAGAAAATCAAGTTCAAGGGCAGCCAATTTTATCGGGTATTCTGAACCTTAGTCAGGAATCCATTTAATATTTTATTTTAGTTAGAAGATGTGAAAAAATTAACAATAGCCACCTGAAAAGCATAGTATTATGCAGTATTAAAAATGTTACCATCTAAAATTCAGAAGAGGATCAGTGAGACTCTTTGTGGATTAGACATAATTAGATGGAGGATTAGAACATTAATTACATATACATTAACATCAGCTTTAAGCTGGTGTTGACAATGAGCTCCATAAAGTGTTTTCAGCCAATGAAAACTGTGATTTGAGGGAGTAGTACTAATAACTGGCTCTTACATCTGATGAATTCTGCTTTTCTGAATGTAAGACTTTCATGGCAATGAATTATTTTGTCTAGCTGAGTTTAATAACAACACACTGAGAGCAAAGATTACTGATGACTGTAACTACTAGTTAATTCATCTGGCACAGAAGCACTTTGACTCTCTTCTACCTCTTAGGATACTTAGAACGTGGCACACACAAACCCACAAACACAGACCACACTGCTGTACCTGGGTTTCGTTTTACAAAGGGGCTTGTTGTGGAACTTCTTCCATTTGTACCAGCTTCCAGTTCTGGACGTCTCGTTGGATCATTATTCCTGGTTGATCCAGCAGAACTTGCATCTACATGAAAAACAAATGATTAATTACAGCACCAACATCTGATAGCATCTAGCTTTAAGAGATGCACATATATCTCAAGAGGCATGAATAGCAATGAACATAAGACTCCTTATGCAAAGCACTGTGAAATACAAGAATATAATTTTCCTTTTAAAACACAACGGTTATACTAGTTATTTCTGAGGTTTAGATTGTGAGGCCATCTGTGGAAACTATAGGGATTCTTGCATTTGGCAGGCAAAGCACTGCAGATGACATTTCAATTTAACTGAGCAAGTTGATTGACTACTATACCAATTTCTAATTAGAAGAATAATTCTTTCTTTCTGCACAATAGGTTATCTCTATGTGAAAAGGCACAACGAACACAGCTCTTCTGTAGTCAACATTCAGAAGCGAGTAAAACTGCAGAAACATAGTTTACATTGTGGAGATTTTGAATTGAATCAAAGAGGTGTTTTGCTTTTTTTTAAAAGAATATACATATATGGCAATAGACATTCTGCCTGGCTGACCTTAACTTTTAGAGAGATCTCCAGTAAGAGAAGCTTATTACACTGACTTGAGGAAATTTCAGTGGCTGGAGGTGCAGAAGTGTCTGCTTTCCAAACTAAGGAGAAGAGGGATGAAAGCAAGTGTCAACACTGGAGCCACACTAGTGGGGCCTGGCCAGGGCACAGTGACTTCGGGAAGTAGCAGGTGGTCTTTACCTTGTCCAACCTTCATGAGGATCTTCATGGCTCTTGTCTGGCACACCCCTCCCTCCTGGTTATCCAGGCCCTCCAAAGACCCATTTGATGTAGCTGATTAAAAATAAAATGGACAAAACAAAAAAATAAAGAAAAATCAGGAAATCAATAAGCCAAGTTTACATGAACATGAAATGTCTGAAAACAATTTGAAAAATAAGAATTTACTCTTAATCACAAGTTTTCTAAAAGTATGGGATGCCGAAAGCCGAAAAAAAAAAAGAAAGAAAGAAAAAGAAACAAAGGAAAATGGACATTGGGAACATGGCTGCATGTCAACTACCTGCTCCTTCTCCTTCCTTCACACGCGGCTGACAGGGCTGGCCTATGGGGAAAGGGACAGCATCTTCCTTTCTTTGGGGCCAAGCTCCAAAGAGCAAAAGAGTGAGTATGGCAATTCTGAAACATGGTAATCACCCCAGGACACCTGCTTCCTCCACTACAGATTTCCTGCTTCGAGAACAATTAGTTTGATGCTCCCTTTGTCAAACATCCAAGTTCTGTAAACACTAGAAGGGGAGCTTTCCCACACCCTTTTTCTTCCTTCTCCAGCCTTAAATGTACTTCAGAAGTCCACCAGAATTCAAATTTTCAAAGTCTGATTTTCTTCCTCCATTAAGGTAGAAATCAGAAAGAACCCATGTGTGACTGTGGCCAACCTCCTCGACCAAGGTCCCTGTTGGGTTAACACAGGAACCTCTGTCTCTGGGTCCTGTGGCTGCTCTGGCTGTAAGGTGAGAACTCCTAACAACCGCCAGCCCCCAGTTCAACAGAGGGATTCCCTTCTCCCATCAGCACTGAGGGGGGACAGAGCGCTTCTGCCATTTTCAGTGGGGATTTTCCCCCTTTTTGTTTTTCAAATGCAGACTGTGCTCTCTTTAAACACATTACTGTCTGTCTCTTTAGGTCGGGGAGTTCTCTGAACAGCTTTGTAACTAAAGCTGCAGAGCTAGGCTGCCAGGCACTCTAATGAGGAGCAGGCTTTCAATTACAGATCCAGTTCCAGGCGGGCAGAGGTGGAGGGTGCTGGACACTGCACACCCCTAAAGTTCAAGGGCCAAGGAACAGAAGTGTTTCATATACACTTCTGCAACTTAAATCATCTTCCACTTTGATTGCTGAAGTCTGGTCTACGAACATTGCACTCTGAAAGGAGCTGAAAAAGGGACAGGTGTTCTGGTAAAAAATAAACCTGAAGATATCCTTTAAATCAGGTTGCTTTGTTTGCCAGATAGTAGGGTCAGCAAACAAGTTCATTTACAGTGGAAACATGCACTCCATGCATAAGTATATAACTGAAAAAATAAGGCACTTATTTATTTCTCCTTGTGTTCTTGAGTTATCAACTTCTACCATCACCATTTTCCTTAAAAACAAAGGCAGTTTCTTCTGCATGTAAATATCTGGCTTATCAGAGAGCTCTAACTCGGGTCTCACCACTGCATCTCATTTTTCTGCTATTGCTGACACCAAGTTTTTCCTGGGAAAACAGGCAATAGTTGCCATAATAATGGGTGTTGTTTTGGCAGGAAGGGTAAGAAGTAGACATAATCCGTTCTTAGATTATGGAGAGAATGTTTAGCAGATAAGTAAAAATAAACACCTGAAACCTTTGTATGCTTCTGGGAATCTAAACAACCTCCTCCCCATTCTTCAGTCTTCTTTCCCAGCTTCCCCTTCTCCAACTAAGTGGCTACATTTCAAAGTATCTACTCCTCCCAAGGCCTCAGAGTGAATTCCCAGGAGCAGACTCTGGTTCTGCACAGTTTCAGAGCAGCAGTATAATCTCTGTTTAATAGTTTAGTTTTCTCATTTTATTTTTAGAAAATTAAGGTATGTCTTCATATAGAAAAGTGGAAAACTGATCTATTTGGCAGATGGTTTTGCATGTTCAGTGGACTTAATTCAACTCAAATCCCAATGTCTTTTTAAATTCACATACATGTAAATGCACCTCCCTGCAAAAAGTGCATGAGCTTCAAAGTTAAATGACTTTTTCTTGCTAAAAGTTTCAATGCTAAATTGATAAATGACAAAATGATGTCTAAGAAGTAGGGCACAGGAAAAGATAAAGAGAAACAGAGATGTGTTTACTTTAATCTTGAGGTGGGTGGGGGGGACAAGTAAAGATTCAGAATGAAAAGAAAAAAAGAAGTTAAATGGATACCAGAAAGGGGAAGGCAGGCACTGGGGAGCCTGGCGCTTCCCAGCGTAATTAACACTGCATCTGCAGAGGGAGGAGCCTCTTCAGACTGCTGTGCCAGCTGGAGGGCAGGAGAGGTGGGCATTGTCGGAGTGACTTTTTTCCTTTTAATTTGTAGGTCAGTGCCTTTGTGCCAAGCTCCCAGGTTTACTCAAAATGATGTCCAAACAATCCCCAAACCATAAACAACTCTAAAGGCATTCAAATTAAATTGCAATCCATAATTTGACATCCATGGACTGTTAGGTTAGTAGGAAGAAAACTGTTATATAAGGATGAAGTTGCTTTGCACCCTGAAGAGTTGAAACTTTTTCCTCCTTAGTTAACAGAGGGGGAGAAAAGAAAGAAAGGAAAAGAAACAGGCAGACAAAAAAGAAAACAAGGAGAGGTGGAGCCTTTGCATAGCTCTTCTCAGGAAGCTGCTGCTGGGTAAGGACAGTGCGGGGACATGCAAGGGAGACACCATTCTGAATGAGGACAATTTTCCTCCCACATTCCAAATTCTGCTCCTTTTCCCATTAAGTCAGCTTATAACTTGCAGAAATCACGGGAAGGTATTGAAAAACTTCATTACTAATGTTACAATAGCATCTGGGATGACTGCCTGCTTAAAAATGGGCTGTACTTGAAATTACCATTTCATGTTCCACCATGAAAGATTTTGACCATGAGTTAGGGATAGTCTATGTTATTACAGATAATCCTTTCTCAGACATTTACTACTAACCAACACGCAGAAGGTAATCTTTAAAATTAAGCTAATTTGGAATGACTTCCCTTTCTTATTTGATATAAATATAATTTTCCATAGTGAAAACTAACTTCCCTCTTCCTTTGGGAGTGCTCATCAGAGAATGCAGCTCTAATTCTAGAGGTCTTGGTCTCCACCTGAACACTGACATGACCAAAGGTGTCCTATCCTGAGTGTACCTCTTTCCCAGCAGTAAACTCTGAAATACAACCACAAGATTAATTTTCTGATTTCTCCTGCAATAGCCAGGTCCCCAGAAGCTTTAAAAGGCTTAGTGGTTGATTCTGAAAAAAAAAATCATAAGAAAATTTATAATGCTTGGGAATAAAATCTATTTCCATTTGGGGAGAGAATTTTGCAATTATTTTTATTGTTCATTTGAATGTCCTCAGAATTTTCAATGTAAGACAAAGAGTAAAAATAAATCGTTATCTCATTACATTGAGTTTTTCCTTGTATCTCTCCATCAGTATTATCTAATGTAGCCACACTCAAATTATTACTAAATGGATAAAATTGCATTTAATCATTGAGAGACAGGAAAAAAAGAACATTTTTATACCTAAGCTTTTAGTGCCCAAGCATTTTTCCCCCTTGGCCCAGAGGGAAAAAAAAAATAGACTTTATAAAATTAAAAATTACAAGAAGTTTCTCTCTCCAGTTGGAAAATAGGCTTAATAAAGATACATGGGCATTTTACAGTCTGCTTTTAAGAGCTTTTGCTCCAGGGGTCTAAATGCATGCAGGGAGTCTACAGAAATCATTATATGGTTCCTCCAGGGTCTGACTTCCAGTGGGCAGAGATCACTGCTCAGGAAAGAGAAGCACCCCCAGTTCACAGGCCCTGAGAGTTGTATGGTACATCTGAGAGCAGGGGCAGCAATTGCACCTGCTTATCTTTGGTTCTCACTCACCAGGCAGAGTGACAAGGCTTATCTGACTAGAAAAAGAGAGAGAGAGAGAGAGACAGAGAGAGAGACAGACAGACAATATGAATGAGAATATGAGAATCAGCAGGTGGTAAAGGGCTCAGAGGTCGAGAATATTCCTGGCTGTATTTTAGACCACCCCCAAAGAAAGGAAGACTATTGCATTTTCACCTGTCTTGGTTTGCTTGTTACACCTCTGCTCACCAGGAGGCTTAGCTGCAGCTCTGGGTAGGTCTTGCCTGCTGGAGTCTATCAGGCTGGCAAAACCATGCTAATCAGATGGAGAATCAAACTGCTGCCTTTGGGCCCCTATGGGGTCTCATTCGCCAGGAGATTAGAAATGAGGGCAACCAAAAAATCCTAAAGAATAGGAGCATCTCTATGAAGAATGCTTTTTAGGTTCTTAAGGGAAGAATGAAGCCTCAAGATAGGTTAATACTGTAGGAGATATGCCAAACTATTTTACTATGTAGCTTATTGGTGGGGGTCCTTGAAAGGGCTGCAGATTGATGGACATTTGAAAGCAAATATTTATATCAACTTCAAACAAGTCCACCAAAGAGCAACAGATAATAAGCATACAGAGTCAGGAAAACCACAGAGTAGTAAGAATAAAAAACCTTAAAGCTTGTCCTTAAAGCTGAGCTAGACATAATTCACGCTCATTTGATCATGAAACAAACAGCATTTTATGAAAATCTTCTGTCAATATCACCCTCTGTACTATTTGTTCCCACCATGCCATCTCATGCCCTGTGAAGGAGGGTTCTTAGGCCAGATTGCCACACATGGTTCTCCTAAGGCTCAACACAGACTTCTAAAGAACCAGAATCCTGTTATCTGGCAAACCATGGGACTAAAAAAGAAAAAAAAACATAACCCAGTGAGAAACATGGAAAGCAAAGCCATGACTTTAAAATAGACATGACACACAAAACTAGATCACTGTTTTCATGTATCATGGTGATTGAGAAAAAACAAAACAAACAAAAAAGGAGAAAGTAAAAAGAAGGGGGTATACGCATTTGAAATACAAGGAAGCTGACAGAATGTGATTATTTAAAGCCAATGCACAACCCAGGAAGTCAAGATCTATTTACTTTATCTTGGCATAGATTCAAATCAAAATATGTGATGCGAACTCTGTTACAGAAACAGGGATTCCATTTCT